CCTCTCTCACTGTGTCTCTCTCTGTCAAATAAATAAATAAAATCTAAAAAAAAAAAAGAATGGCACAAAAAATGGGGTATGTCCTTCAAACCAAATTCACCAGTCATTAATATTTTGCTACATTTGCACTCCCTCCTCCTGCCTGTGGATGTATAATTTTTTTTTCTGAATCATTTAAGAGTAAGTTATACTGTTCATCCTTAAATAATTCATTGTATAGTGCTTAAGATCAAAGACATCCCTTATACAACCGTGTTACAATGATCACATTTAGAACAGTTAATATTGAATCTATACTGTTGCATACTGTACTTTCCAATTGTCCCAATAATGCCCTTTGTACCAACCTGTCCTCTTGATACAAGGTGATACACTGTGTTGTTGTGACTGCTTAGTCTCCTTTTCTTGGAAACCGTTCTTCAGCCTTTCTTTCGCATTCATCCTATCAACATTTTCGAAAAATATGGGCCAGATATTTTATAGAATGACCCTCTCTTTGGGTTTGTCTCATGCTTTCTCACAATTAAATCTAGAGATGTGTTTTTGGCTGAGTTACTACTCAGTGGGAACCAGCCGGTTGGTACCAGCAGTGAGAGCCAATTCTCACATGGCTTCCCAGCAGCATGTTCTGTGAGGTCATATTGGTAGTTTGAAATCAGCCATGGTGGGAGTATTCGCACCATGGACACCAACAGATGCTACAAATGAGAGATCATACCCCCTCCTCCAAGTTTTGGTTGTGAAACGTTTCCATTTACCAACACGTCCATGTATATAAGTGAAGTTGTGTCCTTCTCAATGAATACTTTCTGGAGGCACATGATGCTGGTCTGTCCAGTTATTGGTGATATCTTATCACTTGATTAAAACTTTGTCTGGAGCACCCAGGTGGGGCAGTCAGTTGGGTGACCCACTTGTGGTTTTGGCTCAGGTTGTGATCTCATGATCGTGGGATCGAGCCCTGCATTGGGCTCTGCTCAGAGTCTGCTTGGGTTTCATTCTCCCTCTGCCCCTCTTCCCTGCACATGTCTCTCTCTCTAAAATAAATAAATAAATCTTAATTTTTTTTTTTTACTGTGAGGTTTTTCCATTAAAAAGTTGGCATTTTCCCCCTTATCATTAAATTTCCCCATAGAGAGATATTTTGTGATTATATAGATACCCTGTCCTGTTTCTCACCAAACTTTTATGCAATAGTTTTTATTTATTGAAAACAATTGCCTGCATAATTAGTACTACAATGACTATAAATGCTAATTTTCTTTTCCTCTCATTTCTTACACATTTATTTGTTGGTGTTCTATAAGCTACCTTTTTTAATAGACTTAACCCTAGAATAGCTAGATAATTAGTGATACACTTGCAAACAAGCTGACTTCCCCCAGCCCTTTGTCAAGTAGTTCCACATCCTAAGTATTTGTGAGCAAGTGATTTGTGTCTATTGTTGTTCAGAATAAGTTTCCAAGAAGTACTACATCAATACAGAAAAAGGAGTTGGGTCTTCAGAAATAATTTTTCCATTCTAGGTGTTTGTATTTGATGATAACTTACCATCCCATCAACAGAAAAGGTGGCATTTGGAATCATTTTTCGGTCTTATCTGATTCCAGTTTTGTTTTTTTTTAAAGATTTTATTTATTTATTTGACAGACAGAGATCACAAGTAGGCAGAGAGGCAGGCAGAGAGAGAGGAGGAAGCAGGCTCCCCGCTCAGCAGAGAGCCCGATGCGGGGCTCGATCCCAGGACTCCGGGATCATGACCGGAGCTGAAGGCAGAGGCTTTAACCCACTGAGCCACCCAGGTGCCCCTGATTCCAGTTTTTATCAAAAGCATGCCTTTGGAAGATTCCTGGTGAGAGATTTACACTGGAGTCAGAAAATGGCGGAATGGAAAGAGCACTGGACGAGAAGCCCAGAGTCGCAGTCGAGGCTCTGGGGTTGGGTGGCACACATTATGTCCCCGATGCTCAGTGCCATCATCTGTAAAATAATAGGTCATATTTTCACTAAATTCCCTTTCAGATTGTAAAACTATCTTTTATTCTCTTCTACTTGTGAATCAAAACCTAGCATTTACCTCGTTAGCAAGATGTTTTGGTCCACTGAGCTAACAAGCCAAGGACAAAAAAAAGATGTCCGGCACAGAACCTGAACCTAGTGACCTAGGGACTGGATTCGTAAAGCAGCTAAATTAGCCATGACGGTAGAGCACCAAGACTTGGTACTGTTTCATATCACCCTTGTGCTTTCAGCCATGTCACCTGACTCTCTTCTCTGCTCCTCTTTGTTTATCCCTGACAGTCATGGAAACCTACGGAGGATCCCATTACCTCTCTCTGAGGAGATCCCTCTCTCAAGTGTTAGCTTGCCCAGTCCCTATAAGGTTACCTCTGTTGCCATGGTTATAAGTAAAAGAAATCTTCCATCCTAGGACAGACAGCAGTTTCTAAAGAACGTTTGCACTTCAGGCATGAAATTCCAGAGTTCTGTGTATGTCTTCATTGAATTTCACCATACAAAATTGCTGAGAACCGGGCAAATAGTATTATTTTTGCTTGATCCATTGTTTGGTGAGCTCCTGGCACAACTCAGGTGATCTTGGCAATCGGTATTAGAATTCAAAATATGTTGCCTTGGGTTTCCAGAACAGTGGTTAGGAGGAAGGTGAGGTAGGGGCTGAGGTATATAAAGGAATGTAAGGCTTGTCCAAACCGTGGATTCTCCTGTCTCCCTGGAACCAGGGTCCAGGAGGCCCCACCCCTCCAGCCCACCCTCACCCTCCTCCACCAGAATTGCTTTGGGGCAACTTGCACAGGTGAAAAAAAAAAAAATACAAACCCTCAGGTGAGTTGCATATTTGCCTCCCCTCTCTTCTGGAGCTGTCTGAGCCTGGTACTTTTCATGCTTCAGCTCCTTGTTTCAGCATTTTTAATATTTAATGACCCTTCTAAGGTAGAGAATTATTTGGCAGCATTCTTAAGAGTTTCTGTCCGAGGCCTTTTCATCTGCCGAACTTCCATTTACTAAATTGAAAAGCTAGTGTCTCAAATATTGTCTGGATCACTCACCTAACATTCTGATGAGGCAGAGAGGGTCATGGGGGGTCAGAAGAGCTGGCAGTCATTTTCCATGTATTTTCTGTAGCTTTCATTCTTCTAATATCGAAACAACCCTTTTTTTTCCCCCTCTTTTGTACGATTTTAAGACAAACTGGACTTTTAAGTTTGGGTGCAATTTCAAACTCAAAGTGTTCCTCTCCCTGTTACCCCCTCCCTCTTCCTGAGTTTTGTTTTTGGTTTGTTGTGCGTTGTTTGTTTGTTTGTTTGTTTGTTTTTTCCTTTGAGCCTAAGGAATTCAACCTTTGTAAAAATTTGTCTTGATCAACACGCATCTCACCTGTTGGATTAAATGCTTCAACATCTTTCCCCAGATTAGAAAACCACTGTCTCTTGCCTCAAAGACAGAGGGCAATTGATTCTTAGAATCAACCTGGCTTCTCTTTGATTTTATAATCTGTTTCTAGAGATTAGAAGCAAGCTTTGAATTCCAGGGCTCTGGGCCTGTCAGTTTTTAAAGCAAAACAAAACTTTGGAGCAGATCCGTTGCCTCAGGTTTCAGAAGGGAAACTTAGATGTCACAGGATAAAATTCATTTGTTTTCATTTTGTGATATAAGGGAAACATAGATAATTATCACAGCTGGCATTGTAACGCCCTGGGTTTTTGGTTTGTTTATTTTACTTTATGGCTTTTAGAAGAATTATTGTTACTAGTTTTGTTTTCTTTTTTGAGAACCCCCATCAAATCACTGGGAAACGTGAGAGAAAAGCATAATCCTTTCAGAAATCCCCCGTGAGCCAGCTGCTTTTGGGAACCTACCTAGTTCGCCTTTACTTTAAACTACTCCTTGTTGATGCCTTTGATATAACTATAAAAACTCCTCAGCCCGAATTCAACAGGTAGAAGGGAGAAATAAAGAATTCAGGGCAATTTCTAGGCTCATGAGTTCCATAATCTCAAAGACTCTGACTTTCAAGTACTAATTATACAACACTTAAGCAAGGTTGTATGGAATTGTTCTAGTGTGTGTTAATGCTTACACCAAAGTATTTTTACAATTTTTTTAAAATGAAGATCCCTCTCTACCATTCATTGTGGTAATATATTATATGATGTGGTAATGGTATTAACATATATGATCATATTTAACAAAATAAATGAAGGCATATGTGAATATTATTGCAGCAGTATTCCCTCCACACACACTTATGCGTCGCTACCAGGGTACTGAGAAAACAGGGTACATTCCTGTTTTCCAAAGCCCAGAATTCCTCTTTTTGGGGTGGGAAGGATCTTAAAGGACGAAAAAAATAAAATAATGGGTAAAATGATAGAGTTCATCAAACTTCAGCAAAATGGAACAGAATTTTGGTCTTCTCTAAGTATGCGATGTAGCGGATTCTTAAGGCTTTACATTTTACCTCTAAATGTATAAATATTAATTCAACAATGTGTCACTGATGCAGAAATGAATTTAAATTTTTAATAATAGTTGCACTGTGTGTATACCAAAAAAAAAAAAAGTGGTGACACAGAAAAAAAAAAATCTCAGGAACACACAGAACAAACCATCTAAGAAAATCTTCAGAGCTTAAAAATGAACCTGTAGGGATGAAATTTATGCATTGAGAAGTTGTCTGAATTTTCAGCCTCGAAGACATTTGCGTTTTTCTGGAATACTGCTCTCTAAACAAAATTCCCCACAGCTAATTAAAATGTGCGTGTACACACACACACACACACACACACACACATGCTCCGGCTTCCCCTGAACCCTGGATGCGCCCCTCCACGCCCCCCTCCCTTTCCCCTATAATGGTATGCTCTGTGTTTGATTGTAAACTGGAGGTGCCAAGCTGTGACAGCTTCCCCAACTCCACAGCCATTTGCTACAACCTAGGGCAGCCTGTGTTCAGTGATGCTTTTCTTTTCCCCCGACAGGGGCAAATCGAAGCGGACAGTGAAACCATCTTCAAGTTAGCCGCGCTTGTGTTACAGGTAAGAATCCGGCCGGCTGCCTCTTGTCTGTGCCTTTCTGTTTGTTGGTTTGTGAACTGCCCACAACTCTGAAACTTTCGCGTGGGGCCAGCGGCTGATAGATTTTTAAGCCAGCTGGTTGTTTGCCCGTGACAAACGTGAGTCGCCGTTTTCGGTTTTAGCCTAATCTGCATGAGCTATAGTGTGATATTTTATGTCCCAAAGCAAAATGAAATTTAGACTGCTCTGGGGGAAAAGACTTAGACTGTACTTCTGGAAAGGAGCTCTGGAATAGTTGAATTTGGGAAGCCGCGATTGTTACAACAGCTGTAATTTTCACTTAAATGAGGTAACTTTTGTATACATTTTCTTGAGGTCGAGTGTGAGAGCCCCTTAATGCTTAAAGACACTAGTAGCTGAGAAACAAAGCGTGTTCCTGTGCTTGTTTAAAAAGAGAAAACAAGTAGTGTGCGTTGATTCACCTATGTCCAGTTTAATAGGTCTGTGTCCAGACTAAAAAGTGTGCTGCTTGAATACACAAGCATTTATCACGTGATCTTAGAGCCCTAACAGAAGACATAATCATCTGTGCTTTTTCGGATATATTTGTCTCTTCTGTGAAGAATAAGAAGTGTCTAATGGCTACTAACGCATCCTCTCACCAATGCCACATTCTTCTCTGTGGCCCTAGAGAAAATTCCTCGTGGACACTCTTCAGAAACAAAACTCAGTCACTTTAAGAGGGAAACGTGACCGCAAGTGAAATTCATTTGCTTCATTAACATAAATACATATTGATCATCTATCTTTTTTTTTTTTTATTTCAGGAAGCCAAAGGGGATTATGCCAGGTAATGGTTCCTTTTGTGATATTACTATGCAAAATAACCCTTGGGGAACCCTAGCTGAATGCCATTACTTTAAATAACAATGGATGCAAACTCAAAAGAAAGTAGATCTCTAGGCGGGAGACTGAGATCTCTTCCCTCTTCAAATAGGGACCCATTCTTTTTGTGAATGAATCCAGCAAGGAAGCTTTCTTAGAACTTTTCAAGCCAGAGTGACAGTGAATTGTAAACAGAAGCCCTCCAAAGTTCTATTTTTCTGTTATCGGTTAGCAAGACAGAGAAATCCCTAAAGAGCTTTGGTAGCCGTGCTGACTTTTAAAAATTTATAAATAATCCTGTGTTGGAAGAGTTATAACATATGCACAAAAAGATAAACGATCAGCTGCTTAGTCAAGGGATTAATAGGGGATTTCTTTCTGCAGCTGCCCTGAAGGGGCCTCCCCCTTCAGACACTTAACCTAACAGTGGTATTGTTGCCACTGGGACACTTACTGGTTCTAACTGCCTAACTGGCCGCCTCATCAGAGTGTTTATGTTTGAATTCATGCTCTACCTGCTCCTTGCTGCCCTTTTAATGCAGTAGTTGGAGTCGGAGAAATCGACATGGTTAGAAGGTAAAGGCAAGGCCTCCAGTTAGAATCAGCCCACAGGCCAATGACCCATTGAAAGCCTCACCTCCACCATGTTAATGTTCCACTCCTGGTAAACTCTACCCGTAGATGATTTACAGATGACCTAGGACTCGTTCCCAGCCAAGGTTTTGAACAGGACGCTCCTTAACAGACCGATAACCGAATAATGCCTTCCGTGCCTGGAAACATCCAGTCAGGGCACACTCCTTCACCTCGGAAAGTCCACATCCTCTCACTTGCCCATTCAGTTTGGCAGAATGACTGAGGAGCCCACAGAACACCACGATCTGCTCACCACATCCATTAGCTTTGTTTTGTGCTGTGTTGTTTTTTAAAATTTTGTGTTTAAGTTAGGAAGTACGCTTTGAAGGAATCAAAAATCTATAAACACCTTTTTTTTTTAATTAAAAGAAAACGTTGGGATAAAAGGAGGCTAAATGAGTTTCTAGGTCCTTGACATCCAGCTGCTGTGTTCTCTGCTCTTGGCTTTCTCGGAGGAGCCCTATTTCCTAGGAAGATCAGATATGCGAGGAATGTCATCATGTTGGGGGATGAGTCTGAAGTTGATTTATAAATGAGGGTTTTGGGGCCAAAAGCTCACTCTCTGCAGTCTGTGAACTGCTAACCCTTCCTTCCCCATTTCCTCCCTGCCAGCCATGTGATGGACACTCTCTAAGCCTCATATCCTCAGCAGGAGAATGGCACCTACCCCTTAGATTAATGGGCATAGAGTGGGAGATCAAGTGTATGTAAACATTGCCCAAGGCAGTTTCTGGCACACAGCAAGCTCTCCATCACTACAGCTAATATTATCAGTTGTTCTAGTATCATCATTGCCCTCCTCAGTATCATCACCCTGTCCTGTCTCTTGGCAACCTCTGAAGAGACTGTTGGGACGAAGGTGGGTCTGAAGAAGCTGAGTAGTGTGTTAAGGGAAAAAACCGAAGAGAAAGGTTGATATCCCAGACCTTCTTTAGGGTAGATCTCTTGCCTATGACTGAAGGCTCTGAAGAGAAAGTCCTCAGGTAGTCCAGACTTTTTAGCCCTAAGACTTCAGGGTTGTTGAGCTAGTCTGGCCAAGCCCAAACCAATACTCTTTTTTAACTTTGCCTTGAGCCTGGTGGTTTCCTGAGTGATGACTAGGCTATTTAGTTGGAGCACACTTTTTGCAATTGTCTAAACCTCACTGCATAGTAGAAGGAACTTGAGCCTGGGTGGGAAGAAACTAGCAATGTGACCTCTAAGTGAGCCATTTGTCCTTTCTGGGCCTCAGCCTCCTGGTCTGTGAATTGGGATTCATGAAAATAGCAACTCAGCAGGGTGGTTTTCAGGAGAAGAATGATGTGGAATGACTTTGTAGATTACCAGTTGTTTTGCTAGCAAGCAAGAAGAAGGAGCTGTGAGCTCTTGTCATTGGGTTTATAATGAGGCAGAACTTTGATTCCTGGCTACCACCCACTCCCCTCCCTGGGATGTGATCATCTCCTCTTGTGAACAGGGAGAATATATGTTTCCTCCAGACTTCTGTTACAGAACTAATTTAAGAAAAATAAAATACTATGAGGCAACATTGTGTATGGGTTAGAGCAAAGATACTAGAACCAGACAGCCTTGCTCAGATCCCAGTTCTGCTACTTATTACCTGTATAATCTTGAGCAGGTTATTTAAACTGCCCAAGCCCTCAACTTCCTCATCTGTAGAATGGAATTTACCTTAATAGTAAACGCCCCATAGCATTGCTATGAACATTAAATGATTTAATATTTGTAAAATGCTTTGAACAGTTGCTACAGTCCCCACTTTATTATTTCATCATATTAGTGGAATGACTTACCACCTGCCTGACATTTCAAATATGAGTTGTTTTCCAGTTTTTACTGATACATAAATAATGCTGTGATGAACATCTTGGTGTACTTGGGATTTTGATGATGTGGGATTAAGCAGAGGAAAGTTCCTTAAGGAGGCAAAATTACAAAGTACTGAAGTGAAGTTTCCATATTCTTGATACCACTACATGAAAATTCTACAAAGTTCATAGCTTCATCCAGTAGCGCCCACCAAATGCCTAAAATGTGTCAGCCTCAGTGGAGGTACTGAGGAAGCCGAGAAACCTAGGCTAGGGCATTTCCTTCCAGGGAACTTGGCTTTCTATCTAGAATTACCTCAGTGGCTGTTCTGAATCCCACTTTTCTGTTGGCTTACACGCTGGTGGCTGCAGCCATTGGCTTTTAAAACTTCTTTGAGTTGACTCTCTGGGGTTTAAACCTCAAAAAATGTCCCTGAATACCTTCTAAGACCAGGGCAACCTGGCTTTCTCAATTAAAACAATGATTAAGACCTACTTCCTAAGGCTGCTCTGGTCCACCCACTCCTTGGAAATATCTCCCTGTTTCTCAAATGTAGCATTTCTAAAGCTGAAGCCAGCAGCACCCCAGCCCCCAGAGCTTCCCTGACTCTCCTTGTATGACATCACCTTTTTCTCTTGGATCACCTCCGAGGTTTCCCCTTCTCTCTCCCACCCATCTTCTCTGTCAGTCAGCTCCTTTCTTTCCTTCTCTTTATTTTTTTTTAAAGATTTTATTTATTTATTTATTTATTTATTTGACAGAGGGAGATCACAAGCAGGCAGAGAGGCAGGCAGAGAGAGAGGGGGGAAACAGACTCCCCGCTGAGCAGAGAGCCTGATGTGGGGCTTGATCCTAGGACCCTGACAACATGAGATCATGAAACCATGAGACCATGACCTGAGCCGAAGGCAGAGGCTCAACCCTCTTAGCCACCCAGGTGCCCCTTTCCTTCTCTTTAGCAGACTTGCTGTCTCAGCCCTCATTCCCCTCCACACACCCCCACCAAGTGCTATGTGTGTATAGTTTGTGGGAGTGCTTTCAATGACATTATTTTCAAAATCCATGCATGATTCCATTCAGTCCCCACCACAAATGTTATCACTGCCATTGAACAAATTAACAGATGGAAAATCAGGCCCAAAGAAACAATGCCACACAGTCAGTGAGCTTCCAGATCTTTTCTGGTGCCATCCCTCACAGCGACCTCCACAGAACCCCAGTTATCTTCCCAAGACATTAAATGTGATGGGTTTTGTTCCAGGTTCTCGTTGCACAGACCCACCATTTCCAACACCCTAACCTGGCATCAAGGCTCTACGTAATCTGTATTGTGTATTTTTATTTCCCATACTCTGCTGTTTATACTCCTTAATATCTGTTCATGCCTCTCTAATCTGTTCTCCAGGAACTCAGTAGTATTTTCCCTTCATGGCTCTGATCGAACTCTTCTTCCCGGAATGCCTCGAAAAATAGCAGTCCCCCCCCCTCCTTACTTAGCTTCCTGCCCTGTTTCCTTACGAGTATTTTAAGTGAACATTATCATAACCAGTAGGAAACCTTGCTCTCTAGAAGTTAATTAAAATAGTAGAGTGAGGACTTTCATTCCCTTTAAATAGTTCACAGTCTGAACTTCCAAGTCAGCCTTTAAGCTGCAAAGATAACAAGCTGCTTGGGTTACACAACACAGACAACGCAGAGAATTCCTGAAAGCTGACACAGTGAGGAAGGAAGGCTTTATCCCTGAGCTAGCTCCAAAGGAGTTTGTAAAAGCAGGGCTGGGTTGGGTTTTATTTCTCTTTTTTTTTTTAAAGATTTTCTTAAGATCCTGAAAGTTACCGAATAACCACGTGATTAGGACACTTCTGCTTACACAAAAAAGTGAGTGACGACAATTTACAATTCAGTGCTGGGTCAGAATGAGCATATATTGTCACCCAGCTTCAAATGGGAAGGAATAATTCACAACTTACAGCTGTGCTACAAAATACAGCTTATTTCCCATGGGAAAGGACCTGGTGTGGCTGCCCTTAGAGTAGTTAATGAAGGGAGGGGGGAAAGAAAAGCAAAGACTTTAAAGAACTTTCCCGCCTCCATCCTCCCTCTCTAGAGCCCTTGAAACTCTAAAATGCCCTTCCATTTCCAGAGCCTATAAAATCAGTTACATTAATAAAAATAGCAGCTCCCATGGGCTTGGTGCTATGCAGGGTCCTTACACCAATGGAGAGGCAGTAGTGATGACAGGAGCTTTTAGAATTTAACCGGGTTAAATCCAGATTTTTTAAAAAAGATTTTATGTATTTATTTGACAGAGAGAGATCACAAGTAGGCAGAGAGGCTGGCAGAGAGAGAGAGGAGGAAGCTGGCTCCCCGCCTAGTAGAGAGCCCGACGTGGGATTCGATCCCAGGACCCTGAGATCATGACCTGAGCAGAAGGCAGAGGCTTAACCCACTGAGCCACCCAGGTGCCCCTAAATCCAGATTTTAGAATTTAGAATTTAACTTGGGTTCAAATCCAGGCCC